CGCTAAGGCTTTATTTGATCAAATGGACAGAAAAAAACAGTGATATTGTAAAATAACTTTTCTATTTTATCATTTTCAAATGTAATTTATTCATGTGACAGCAAAGTCTTCAGTGTCAAATGATCCTTCAAAAATCATTCTAATATGCTGATCTGGTGCTCAAGAAGCATTTCTTACTATTGTCAATGCTGGAAACAGTTGTGCTGCTTAATATTTTTGTCAAAACCATGAACATTTTTATAGAACGTTGAAAACAACAGCATTTATTATATAGGCTACTATTCTTTTGCAACATTATAAATGTCTTGACTGAACAAAAGTATTCATTTCTTTCAATATTATCTATATTATACAACATGCCTGCTATTTCATGCCTCCAAATGCATTTCTAACAATCTGGTGAACTATTTGCACAGCATGTCCAAGGGATTATGCTCCGTATCATTGGCATCAAATTGATTTCAGATAGTCAGTCTTCCATCTTTTTGCCAACAGAACAACATTAGGAGAATTTTACGACGTGCAGCGTGGACTCTTTAAAGCGGAGCTACTCTTGTCACGCTGCACGCAGGCTTCTGCTTCTTTCTCTTTGTGAGCTGCACAGCTGGTAGTGGAATGAGAATAAACTGATGTTGTATAATCTATGGCATAAGTAAAAAACCCAATAATAAGAGGTCTGTTGGCAGTGGCTGAACCCCAGATTTATAGCTTGACAGTGATGCTTGTAACTTAGTGGAGTGGGAGGCAAAGCTAAGGGTTTTCCATCTTCTAATGAACCATGTCATGTGAGACAACCTAATAAGCATAGTGCCGAACCTATAAATTCAAAGCCTGCACAGGGCAAATCAGATTTTACTCCTCTGTCAGCCCTGGCATCCTAAGTCTCAACAAACGTCCATCACAGGGCTAGAACGGCAGCATTGCTTTCAATTTAATTAACTCTCCACTTCATGGACTTATGATTAATATTTCCTCATCCATAATGCAAAAACTGGGCTCAATGCTAAATATGACAGCATCATTTGCACTGGTAACGGAGAGTGGCATGTTTATTCATTTATTTTAAAGGTGCCACTATATGCAAACACTGACTTTCATGCTATTTGCTTAGATGGGATTCCATTAGGCCTATATATTTGTGTATTATTTATTTTGAGTGCAAATTATCAGATTATTCCATGACAAAAGCAAGCATGCAGATGTTCACAACCCTCCGGGATTATTTATTTTATATATATATATAT